GGGCTATACAAAGTTAAGGAAAGCTAAGCCCCTTCTTAAGAGCATCTATAGGAGCAAGAGAGAGAACTACTAGAGAAAGAGACAATGCGGAAAAAAGTAAGGAGGAATACGTGGAGAAGAAAAATCAGGAAGAGGAGGAGGAGGCCGTCTGGCTGTAGAGTGCGTGCGCAAAGCTGGTCCGTCCAGCGCGTCGCGCACCCTCGTCAGTCATAGCGTCGTCGCACGTTTTCGAAGTTCAATTTTAAGACGACGCTGTCTGTGACCATCATTCTACTCGGTCGGCCACGACACGCCACACTTACTATATCTTTGGCGACCTTGAGCAAGTTCGCGATTTCGAAAATCTATGAATATCGTGTTTTTGTGGTGAATTGTTGGTTTTTTTATCGTYTTGAATTCCAGATCGGATATTCCACATCAACTAAGAACAGTTCGGCAGTCGTTTACGAAATGGTTAGTACCTAAATCAACGCTGGTATTTAAATACAATCACAGTCGTTAAACTATTATATATGTTCAAGCCTGTTTTATATTTTTGTTTTGCAATGCAATTTGTATAGGTATACCTCAGAGTAAATATTTAAGTATGTATAACTTGATAAAAGTAAGCAAAATGTAACATCCCCTCCCACCAATAATCATTTGGAGATTTATTTGTAATATGCAAAACAATATGTATCGTAAGGCTGGCATAAATTTAAAAATATTAAAATTTAAGTTTTACTATGACGTATTTTCCWACATGTGAAGATTCTTAAGTTACTTTTAACTCTTAAGTTGTGTAAACTATAATTAACTCAACATATTAGTGTACATGTTGCGAAAATGGCATAGGTAGTCACAAGAAAAAATATCCTGTAAACAATTATTAGTATTTTATAATCAGAATCTTATTTTCCCTTACAATACTGGCAAAATAATTTCAATAATATTTTTTATTCAAATTAGATCTATTTATCTAAYTTATATTTCTTGTTTAAGTAAGTTTACCTAATACTTATGGTAAAACAATACAATTTTTCATCCATTTTTTTTCTTTTAAACGAACTAAATAATCAATCATAACGATTTTATTTCTCATAAATTATTTRTTAAAATAATGTATCAATATTCCAAATAAATATTTTGAATATTATGTAGATTTGGACTCGTATTAAGTGCCTACTTAAAAATCGTATACACTGACAAATTATTTATTAATTATAATTGTTTAAATATCTAGCTAGAGAAGGGTAATCTAAAAATAGACAAGATATATTTATACATCTCATTGCTCAACTTTATTTTTTTTTTTTATAGACGCAAATTATAAGATATAAATTGTAAAAATGCAAAAGTAGCTAAAGTTATATATTATATTCACTCTTTGGTCAAATAACAAAATATATAATAACAAAAACCCGTGAACAAATCAAATGCAATTTTTGCTAGTATTTAGTCAGTATGTTTAGTAAATAGATTGAAACTATGAAATTACTGAAATATCGTAAAATATGCTTGAACATTTTCAATATAAGTTTTAACTTTAGATCAAACACCAACTGAATCGATGAATAACTAATGGAACTATGTTTGATTACTGAAATTGCCTACCTCTGTAATTTATATACTACTATAATGTCTATATGGCCATGAAGGCATGAACTAATGTCCAAAATCATTAAATACCTTTGCTATACCATTATATTATTATATGATACCTACCTATGCCTTGCTTTATTGATAAAAAACATGATACTAATATAGACTGCGTTTTGCTTTATTTACTTCGACACACAGTGTACATTAATTAAATAATTCATATTGAAAATAATATTTATTTTTTTATCTTGTCTAGTAAAAACCAATTTCAAATATTTTTTTTATCTAGATATATATTTAATGGAAATAGRTTATCTGAGATTAATTATCTATAATTCTAGATGATTTTATGTGACGAGATTTTCAATATTTTGTTTTGATATGAAGATATTTTTTTGGTGGGACGGTGTTAACTTTTCAAAACTATTGACAATAGAAATAGTAGATAGTAGTTTTAAGTTTCATTTTCCATCAGTTATTTTATKAGTATTCATTACTTGTGTTTTGCTATAATTATTTTATAGTATGTATACTGTTAATTATCAATATGTATCRAAGGGTTAGTTTAATCATACCTATTTAAACAAACACAAAGACGTAATTTTGGGAGGGGGGGAGAAGAACAACTGCCTTCTTAGATAATTAACTGGGTGGTCAATAGTGTCTTTTTATCTTAGAGATTTTTGTTTCACCACACTTGCACTCTTTACGAGAATTTACCCCAGATTACGTCTATGAACACGCGTATTYAATCGTAAAAATGTAGTTATATTACTTATATTTATAATAATAATTATATTATTATTATATTTAGAACAAAAATTCTGTTTTACAATAATCAGCTAGATCATTTTTTGGTTATCTTTGAGTAAAACTAACAAATTACAATATTTTATTACATTTCAAATTAAATTAAGATTAATGATAGATACTGCATCTAAAGAAATCTTGAGGTTGCAGATCGTATAACATTGAAATTCACTATACAATAAGCGTTTTTATACGAATTTTGTCAAGTCTTAAGTGTGATGAGTAAATATTTTTCAA